TATAAATACTCATACATTGCCTTTACAACTTATTGGGATCATTAATTAAAGTACCCAACTCAATCTTAATCTTAGGGCAGTATTCCTCACCTCCCATTTACCCTTAAATATGGTAGGGTAAAGCTGCGTACAATAGACTTTTGTGGTTCGGCCCTTTTCTGAACCCCGTGCATAGCGAAAGCTTAGTGCACCGAGTTGCCCTTTTTTTTAATACCATGTAAGAAAAATGAAAGTTCCTATTCCAACACAAGCTCCCTATCATATTTAAGCTTAATAAATGAAGAGGGAGTAGTAGGATTTACCTCTATTCTAGCAATTTCTATGGAATCTAAGAGATTTGGGATTAATACTTTGTATTGAATGAGTGAAAACTACCGAAACTCACTGCAAAAGCTCACCTTGGTAGATCATCTATAGTAGTTGCCGTGCCTTCCACCAAATGCAATTTTTTCCCCTTACTTGCTGCAGAATGAGTTTTGGAGCAGCTGATCAAATCTTGTTAAAGCTATTTAGATGAATAAACAGCAGACCACTTAATTCTTTGACCTTTAAGGAGGAACCAAGCAAATAAGATCTTTGGTGAAACGATCCAAACTCCCATCTTCAGTTTACTACAATGGAGAGAGCATATTCGCTTCCTTTTGCTGCTATACATAGCCATCGTGACTGGCTTCACAACAGTAGGGCTTGACCCACTAATTGTTACTCCTCCCGTTTCAATTTATTTGAACTTGTTTAACTGGGCACGTGGTTTAAGAAAAAATAAATACTTTTAGTATTTGTGGTCCTAAACAAATTAAAAGGTGATCTAGAGTATTTGTGTGGTTATAAATTCTTCTCATTAAGGAAAGAGTTGGAAGTTTAAGCTAAATATGTTTCTAGAGTGTCATTCTTTTTGGAACGGACCAAAAAAGAAATAGGTTCATAGTATAAATATATTTTGTCTTATGCACCTCTCAAAATGCAGCTCAAAATCTCACTTTAAGAGTTTTAAACGTGGATGTCCACTTACCACTATATTAATCAATATTCTGGACACTATTTGGTCACCTATGCAAGGTCTAGTTTGACCTCAATTAACAGCTCACTAAACTGTAGCCTATAGATAGCTTCTTATCTCTTCCATTTGTCCTCTAAAACATTTTTTTTTTTTTTGAGTGTCGTATTTTTTTCGGGACTTTACAGATTAAAGGTGCAAAATACTAAAAATCACCTAAATCATGAAAAAGAATAAGAAAATGTGTATGCAGAGGAAGAAGAAGTTAATTTCTTAAGCTGATTCAATTATGAATCTAGCTTTAGATTTCATTACATCGCACTTACTATAGAGGAGTATGCTGGCAATAAATAACTCCATTGTACTCGAATTCCATAAATATCTGATAATACAATTAGTTCCTTCTTAGTTAATTAGCTCTCTCTTCTTTTGCCCTTGCATCCTCAAAGAGCTATCATTGAAATATTATGGTGGTGGAATGAATTAAGCGTGCTTAAACTTGGTTAGAAGATCTTTAGTAAGCCAGGAAGGTGACTTTGAAGAAAACAGTTTTTTAAAAAAAAAAAAAATATTGTTAGCCGAATAACGTATAAGCCATTCAGGTGTCTTCATTTGCTATCATTTTTGGATTTATATTTATTCTCGTCATGTTGGGAAATAAAAATAAAGAGATGTATATATAACAAGATTACTGATGCAATTTGAAACACTAAACAAACGTATTTTTTGTTCCTTTAACATATAGATATTAGACACATAGTTCTTGCTTGGTTTTGGTGACATTCCGTATAAGTCATACTACTACTGCTACTAATACTACGACTGCTAATGCTACTCTACTGCTATTTCCTCTTTTGCTGTTGCTGTTGCTACTGTTGCTGCTGCTGTTGTTGTTGTTGCTGTTGCAGCTGTTGATGTTGCTGTTGATGATGTTGTTGCTGTTGCCGCGGTTGTTGTTGTGGTTAATTCTGCAGCATCTGAATTGAAGCCTCCACGAAAGGTGAAGGACATTCACAGGGTTGCTTTAATTTTTACAAACTGAAAGTGCATAATCTCTCTGCAAAAGATAAAAGAAATCAAATTTTCAACCTTCAATATCATCATTAGTTTATCCATATTAAAGCAAATTCTAAATGTAATTGCTTTACCTGCACACTTTCCAAGGGAAATCAGATTGCAAACATATATGGTTGGTTGCTCGCACAAAATTTTGGCAATTGCTTGCGAACACTAAATTGAAATAAAAGACAACTCAAACACTGAATCCACCTAAAACCGTTGATGATAGATAAGCCAAATCTTCCATTCATAGCATGACACTCTTTGTGCTACTGTTTAAATAAGAGATGGTTTACGGAAAAAAACTATTCAATCAATATAGAAGAATACTTAAAAGAATTAGCTTTATGCTTTTAATTAACTTCAACAAATGAGACGAAAAAATTATGCAAAATGGGATGGAAAGTGTGTATCAATTTTATTTTCAAGCATTATTCTTCTTTTTATCCTTAAAAAAACATATTTCTTTTACATGTAATGATATTTGGAAGCATGGGGTATTTGCAAGAAAGAGTTAATTAAGCCCCAAGGCATCACAACATAAGCACATCGATGGGGTCTAGGGTTAGAAATCAAAGAACAAAAAGAGAGCACAATGTTAGTATCAAATAACAGAAATGGTTAATTAAGAAGCGCGAGACGATAAATCCAATACTTTAACATGGTGACTCATTGATTCAATTTTGATGAATTGGAAATGGATTCCAACATCTTCATCTTCACTGTTATTGTCTTGAGCGCTCTTCATGAGTGCGACGGCCACAACTTGGGATATGTTATATGAAAGAGTGGTAAAGCATGAGTTTATATAGGGGGGAAATGAAACTCCAGGGTTTTCTTTTTAAATTTGTTTCCTTCTTTATTATTATAAATAGTAAGTTGTTATTAGTAAAATCTGACTCACTTCCAACTTAAAGACAAATATTTGGTAATTATTTACTGTATTTCTTTTCGAGGTTTTTTTCCTTACGTTAACGGATATTCAAGAAACTTTTAATCTTGATTTTACAATTGCAGTACATGGAAAGAAGGGCCTTTACCTAACTTCTTTTGAACTACGTATTTTTTTTATATATTTTCATTTGAACTACATCCTAAGTATTCTACAAAAAATTAATGTCATCCTTCTACAGAGCCTTTATGTACACTTGTATTTGGTATCCATAGTTAGGGGTGGCAAATGGGTAAAAAAAAAACAGAAAATTAAAAATACAAAAAAAAATAAAAAAAATTTTTTGAGGGGGTTGAGAGGGGGGTTGGTGTTGCAGAAAAAATGAATAGAAAATTAAAAATACAAAAAAAAAAAGTAAAAAATTTCTTTTTGAGAGGAAGGGGTTTTGCGGGAGGGGGTAGGGTGGGTGGATGGTGCAAAAAAACAAAAGAACATAAAATTAAAAATGCACAAAAAAAAGAAGTAAAACTGGGGCAATTAAATAAATTTCAATATAAGTTGGGTTGAGATATCCTTTGTTTTAGGTGAGTTTCATAGGTTGTATTTGGGCTACTTAATGGGTCAGAATGAGCTATAAAATATAATGAGTAACTTGGGCTCAGCCCAAATTAATTCATGAGCTAAAATATTTGTAACCCAACTCATTAATCTCTGAGCGGATTAGATAGGTTTGAGCTCAAATTGCCACCCTAATCCATACCAAAGACTTCAAAGCAAAGCCTTTATGTGCCTCTATTATTGACAGAAAAATGATGAACTGTGAAATCTTTGGCTAGGCCGCTGAAAAAGTATGAACACCTGGATTATTATTTTTAAAAAAAATTTCAATGATCTCTCCTTCGAAACAAATTAATGACTGCATAAAAGGATAGGTCCAACTGCAAAACCATCGGAAACTATGTCGTTTTGCGTAAATAATACCATGGCCGCCAAAATTTATAGTTTCCTAATGTTCTGGGACCCTTTTCTATGGCTTGTTTGTTGAAAATAACTCCATGTCGTTCAAAAGGTTGGGAAACTTGTTAGATCTGATTTTAATGATGCAAATAATATATATCTGTTTTATGTGCAAGAACTCATGAACAACATCAATCAGAGATGATTAAGGAATCAATTGTTAACTACGAGATGGAAGCGAAGGCAATCCGGAATTAGAGAAATCAATCAAAGCCAATATGGAATCAATCATGCCTATACTTAAGGAATCGAGCGTATCCAAATCTGGAAGGTGCACGATGTTGGGAAGCATATATGGAAAATCATTCAAATCTCTTGTAAACATAGTCGTTGTTGTATAACCTTATTCTTGGAAAGAACCAATTTCTCTACAAGGATCAAATCTCTCCAGAAACCAAGCATCTCTCAAAGTATTTAAACTTGTATTTATACCCTAGAGCCACATACTTTGATCGAACCAAATACCCTCTCTTTATTCTACTAAAAACAAAAATTGTAGCTCTACTAGATCTACTGTGTAACAAGTTAGAGAAGAAACAGAGAACAACATTAGTGGGGCATTGTATCAAAAGAAACGAATGAAATAGGAACTAAGCGATCAGTGTAGATCACACCATTCTTTGTACTCTCGAAGAAACTCATTCAGTGAAAAAGAACTCCCTTGCAACCCAAGGGGACTAGACTAGGATTCATTGAATCCAAACCAGTATAAAAACTATGGTGTCTTTAATTCCCGCATTTTAATTTCTTCATCTTAAATTCTGTTTTAACTAGTATCAAGTTCTTATATCGAGTCGACTAATCGAAAAACTAGTCAACTGATAGCTATTAAGATTAAGAATAAAAAATTAACCCCCCTCTCTTGTACTTTCAATTGGTATCAGAGCAAGGCTCACACTTTTTTTTTTGCTTAACAGTTTGTGAGAAAAGATCATGGCTAATCAAGTTATCATAGGAGCACTTTTTCAAGAAGGTACTTCCCAAGTAAGGCCACCATACTTCAATGGATAGTATTTCTCCCACTGGAAAGTACGTATGGAAATATATGCAGAGGCATATGATGTTAAAGTGTGGAGAGTCATCAAAAAGGGGAACTATCCTCTATCGGCTGCTGCTCAACCTCTTGCTCATCCTAAAGATATAGACTTATATATAGATGAGCAAATGGCGGTTGTGCATGTCAACAACAAGGTAAGAAATTTGCTCTATAATGCTACAAGTGGTGAAGAATATGAAAAAATCTCCAACTGTGATACAGCCAAAGAAATGTGAAATAGCTTGAAGTTACATATGAAGGAACCAACAAAGTGAAGGAAACACATATCAACATGTTGGTTCACGATTATGAACTCTTCCAGATGAAAGAAGGAGAATCCATTGAGGAAATGTTTGCCAGATTCAGTAAAATGATTAGCGACCTAAAAGTTTTTGGCAAACCATACTCAAGTGGTGATCAAGTTAGAAAGATTCTTAGAAGTTTACCAACCACTTAGCAAGCTAAAGTAGTCACACTTGAATAACAGGATCTTAATAAATTATCTTATGATGAACTTCGTGGAGAACTCATAGCCTTCGAAAAGACGCATCTCAAGAAAACAAACCAAGAAGAAAAGAAGAAAACAGTTACATGCAAGGCCACAACTGAGATAGCTGAGAATGATATCAATGATGATCCTAAAACCCTTCGAGAAGAAATTGCTATGATGTCAAGAAACATGGATGACTTAATTAAAAGATTCAGGAATAAGAAAAGTGGAAGGATTCCACCTAAGCAAATCAGGTAATACAACGAACAAGATAAGAATGATGGAAAATGTTATGAGTGTGGAGGATTTGGACATATTCAAGTCGAATGTCCAGATCTAAAAAGAAAAATCTCCAGAGGTTTGAACAAAAACAAATTATTTGGAAGTTGGAGTGATGAAGACAGTTCAAAATACGAAGAAGTAGCAAATCTTTGCTTCATGACAATTCTGGAAAACGATATGAACAAACTTTCAAGATGCTGGATAGATGAGGATACTTCAGACGATGAATGCAAAGACAACAATGAATATTGCTTCATGGCTCGAGGTGAAACAAACGAGGTAAGGTCTTATAATTGTTAAAGATGTAATGAACTGCAGGGTATTCTTGATCTCACTTTGAAAGAGTCTCAAAAAATGATGGATGAACTAAAGAGACTCAACAAAGAAATAAAAGACTGGAAACTCAAACATGAAGTATGTGAAATCGAAAAAGAAGTACTTCAAGAAATGTTTGAGGAATCGCAAATGAAATTCAGTGGCATGCGCAAATCCCCCAATCATAGTTCAATCAGCTCAAACCAGACGACTTACAAGTCAACTGGAAAAAGGACCAGCCAGAATTGAGTCTACTAGTACTAACATAACTGAAAGACCCAAAAATGGGTCTGGAATTACGTGTCACTACAGCAATAAAACTGGACATAAATACTCTTATTGTCATTTTCGTAAGTCTAATATTTCAGGATGGATTTGGAAACCCAAAAATGATCCTGAACCTAGTAACACTAACCAACCAGGACCCAAGCAAGCTTGGGTACCTAAAAGAAAGTGATCACTATATTTTGCAGGAACACCACAGAGGAAATCGCAAAAGAAAATGGTACTTAGACAGTGTGTGTTCCAGCCACATGATAGGTGATAAAAACCTGTTCAAAGAAGTTACAAAAATAGACGGAGGAAGCGTTAAGTTTGGCGATGATTCAAAGGGAAAAATAATCGGTACCGGTATAATCCCCTTCAATAACAATTGTGATATCACTAAGGTTTATCTAGTTGATGGGCTTAATTTTAACCTTCTGACCATAAGTCAGTTATGCGACTCAGGATATAAGGTAAAGTTCAAGAAAATAGGTTGTGCTATTGAAGATGAGACAGATAAAACAATCCTTCTAGGTAAAAGGTATGGAAACGTTTACATTCTTGTTGCTTTTAAAAATATTGATGGTCATATCTGTTTAACTTCCATATTTGATGATCCCTGGTTATGGCATAGGAAACATGGTCATGCAAGCATGCATCTGATAGAAAAACTTTCCAAGCATAAGTTAGTTATTGGCTTACCTAAATTAAATTTCTCTAGAAATCATATATGTGATGCTTGTTGTCACTCCTCCTTTTTACTATCCTAGAAGGGTATAAGGGAGTTTTTTCCAATTTAAGTGACAATCAAAATAGGATTATTTATATTAAATTCAGAGTCGCCGCTTAGGATAATTCACGGTGTCCCAAGTCACCAGTTTAAAATCCCGAATCGAGGAAGTTGACTCTTATTTATGGTCTGCGAATACAGAAATCCGAGTAAAGAATTCTGTTAACCCGGAAGAAGGTATTAGGCATTCCTGAATTCCGTAGTTTTAGCACGGTCGCTTTGATTATACTTTACTTAATCAAATTGTATAATTACTCATTTTAGAACCTATGTGCATCTGCCTCTTTTAATTAAGAAATTATCTTAATAACAGGTCACGCGTACGTGTACCCATTTGTTTGGCGCGTCAAAAATCATGTCACACGAACGTGTCCACAATTAATAACGCTTTATTATTATTAAGAAAGTTTGATTGAATTTGTGCGAACGCATACTCCGATTTTATTTTTAGAATCGTAATTATGTAACGCAAACATGTCCACAATCACGACGTTATATTAAACGTGCCTAAAGCAAACTACGAGTATTCATTTTTAGTATCTAAGTTAGAATATTTGTGAGGTCCATGGGTGATCTTAATTATGGATGGCACACCTCGATCCATTTTTAAGAATTAATACTCAATTAGGCCTAAAGATGTTAAGGCTTAGCACAATTAAAGCTCAATCTAACCCAACTAGTTATAGCATGTTTTGGATAATATACTAGGTACTTATTTATTTAAAGGAATTCTGGGCCAGCAATAGGCCCAATATTATTTAAAGATCTCGAAAAGGAAAACAAGAGAAACTGGGCTCAACATCAAGCCCAGCGATGAGGACAAAGGCAAGAGGCCACCATAATTTCAAAGGGCCAAAGATTGGGCCCATGATCAAACTTTCAGTCTTAAGAAAGAAACACTTCCATTATACAAATCCTAACAAATTGACAATGATGGATATAATAGGGTTCAGAATCGAGCCCAAGGAGCGAAAATAAAACAAGAACAAATAGATGAGCCCATTTCTAAAGCAGACTGCCTCATATAAACCAAGGCTAGGCCCAATCGCCTTTAAGAAGAAAAACCTTCAGTATTGAGGCCCCAACAGACCCTGTCTCCTTCTAAATCATCCATGGCAAAACAGTAAAAGAATTCTAGACATGAACACCCAGATTATGAACCATATTTAAATGACTTGCTACAAGTAGTAGTAATATGAACATGGATTTTAAACTACTCATTAAGCATACTAATTCTCATATCAAAAGATTACTCTAGTAGTGCTGAAAATAAACGATTAAACTACGTAGGTTCAACAGCCAAAACAGAATACATGATGCCTAAATCAACATTCTTAAATTTAAAGGGACGGTGGACTAATCTAAACCTTAATATATGAAATTCCCTACAAAACTACCGCTCTTTGACAGATCTCAGAACAGCTGAAAGAAACCAAAGAAAACTAATAAGGAGCTAGGTAAGTCAAGAGAAAACATATGTAAAGAAACTGAAAATCCATTTTGTCAAACACTAAATTCCTTATTACAAATACATGTATCAAAAGAACAAACATACTTGCACTTTAGTAATCATCACGGTCCAAGAAGTACCTGAATACAACAACAAAGCAAAAAGGGGGTAAGGATTCAGCACAACAGAGCTAATGAAAACATCAGCTTATATCAACCAAGAGGAGCAAGAACATGAGATCAATAACAATAAACCAGATCCAAACTTTAACCATGCTTAAATACCTTAAGAATTCAAGAATTTTTTAAAAAAACTTGTGCTAGCTCTTCTTGTGGAATATCATAAAAAGACTCAAAATAGTACAGAAACGTTTGGGGTAATTTTCAGAGTCTGAATCTCGGATTTTTGTGTGAAAGAAAAGGTCTATATATAGCTCTTAAGAGTGCCATGTGCTGCTAAAAACAAAATGGGAATTATTCCCTCACATGGCATCTTTTTTTAACAAAATTCATATAGATGGCAGCTTTTGATTGGCTCCAGCATTTGTGCTGGCCAAAATTAGGCTAGCTGCCCCAGATTCTAGAAGCTTCCTTTCTAAAAATCTGATTTCCATTTCCCAAACTACCCTTCTAAGTTTTCATCTATTCAATTAAACCCCAAGATATTTTTAACAATTACAAACTAAAGCAAATAACACCAAAATCTGAATTAAAGTCAAAAAATATCAAAATGAACAAATCCTAATTAAATTAAGCTTTTAACTAAACATAAATTCTTTTAGCATGAACTTGAAATAAAAAACAAGACAAAACAGAAACATTTGAACCTAATACTAACATGAATCCAGAATTACTGAGTAATGAGCGATTTTCTAAGAGTTAAACCTTTTGAACCAAACTAACATCATTATATCAGGGAATCAAAACAACAATAGGAAACTAACATGCTGATTTTAAAATTAAATTAGCTAAACCAATATTAATAAACCCTAAAATGACAAACTGACCAATCAATGACTATGATAAAAATGCACAAATTAACCCTAAAAAAATTATTGATTAGTCTATGTCACTAAAGGCAAGAGTATATAAGTAATTTTGAACAAAATAATAACCTAAGTCATGCAGCTACCAAAAGAACAAACACATGAGAACAATCAAAGAAAAGAAAAAATGGCAAAGAAAAGAGAAATATAAACAAAGCAAGAGATTACCTATGCTAAGGTAAGAAACAAATTGGACTCGGAGGACTTGGTCAGAGCTTGAACTGGTTAAGGTAGGTTTGAAAAATAAATAAAACCCACATGAATCAATTGCTCCTGTTAAGAGCAAGTGACTTATGTAGGTCTAAACCATTTAAACTTCTGGAATCACTCAGTATAGGCTTTTAGGGTTTTCAGATTCTCGATCTAAAAATATTTGATTTTGAGGGTCCTTTTAGGAGAACCTGCAAGGTATTAGGGGTGAGGGGAGTGAGGAGATGGCCTGGTAAAATTTTGGATTGATTTGGAGGAATTAGGGTTTGGACTCTGATTTTTAGATATAACATTCGAGGATTTGGGTGGGGATTTTGGAGAAAATATATGTGGATTCGGAAAGGGGAGGTAGTGGAGACTATGGGGTGTTAATTTGGGGGTGTTTGGAGCACCGGAACCGCGGTGAGGCGATTTTCCGTGGTGGTTAGTGGCGCGGGATGCGGGGGTTCTTGGGGCAGCTAGGGTTTGGTTTAGATATGGAGATGATGGTGAAATGGGGGGCGGGGGGTTCGAATGGGGATGAATCGATTTTCAGACAGTTTTATACAAGATTAATGCCTAGTTCACAGCCGTTGGATCACACAAGATCAACGACTGTGATGAAAAGGGACATAAACGATGTCATTTGGTGGTGGTGGGACCTGGACCGGGTAATTCAAATTTGGGCTTGGATTTGGGGTGTAAAACTGGCCTAATTAACTTTAAAAAAAACATCCTTCTTTTCTTTTTCCCTTTTAATCCTTTTTCTTTTATTTTCTTTTCTTTTTCTTTAATTAATAAAAATCTTAAATTAAACCCTAAATTGATTTAAGCTGTAAAATCAAACTAATTATCAAATTATAAAATTTATAAAAATTAATGGATCCTAAATTAAAGAGAAAATCGATTGATCTAGAATTAAAAGCTAAAAGATGCAAAAATGAACCATTTTTGTGATTTTCATTTTAGTAGAACCATTAATTAACTAATTAATCCTAAAAATATGGAAACAAAATCTAGATGCAATGCATGGCAATTTTTGTATTTTTCATGATTTAATAAAAGTAATCATGCACAGAAATGCAAACAATTAACACAAATTCCTACAAAAATCCTATAAAATTGCAAACAATTGGAAAAAACTCTATTTCTTTAATTTGTAGAAGTATTTCACATAGGGCAAAAATCAGGTGCTCACAGCTGCCCCTCTTTGCTCGGAAACACGAAGAGTTTTTGGGCAAAGAAAAAGTGAGCGGATACGAGCGATTTTTGCACGTTTGAATACTCCATGGGAAGCATATTTGAACGATCTGACCGAACATTGCTTCTGAGGTTGCCTACATATCCTTAGCTATAAAGGAATCAGGTCAGTGTAGTTTGGGAAGTTTTGGTAGCTGGGACTACTAGGAAGCTGTGATTTCACTGTTGCTACTGCTACTACTTGCTGAACTCCTTATTACACCGAGACAAAATAAAAAGAAGCTAGGCTAAACTATGATCTATGAATTACA